GCTTGTGATGTTGTTCCCTTCAATTTCCAATCTAGTAATAGAATTCTTCCTCCTTCTGCCACAAGCCAAGGCATGAAAGAATTTAGTGTTCCTGTCCCCCTTTGTTAACCACTTGCATCTTGACTTCTGCCTCCAACTTATTTCCTCCTAAAGCATATAATCTTCTAACTGTTTCCTCAAGCTCCACCTATGTTCCTTGTCCTCTTCAGTTAGGCCTTCCCTCCCTTCTTTATTGTCCAGGTCTGCAATTGATTTCATTCTGTTTCCTTTCCTCCAATCTCCCAAATTCAAGTAGATTCCATTCCTTGATTCTCCCTTTCAAATACTGGAGCTTCTTATGAAACCTCATCCCATACCACCCCTGTTGGATTGCTCTCTACCCACCACTCTTCAACCTTCCTAATGAACCCCGGATGCTCTAACCACATGTTCTCAGATCTAAATGGAGTTGGGCCCGCACTACACACCTCCTCCTTACAAAGTACAATAGGCCAATGGTCAGAAGTTACCCTTGGGAGTGCTCTAGAGTTTAGATTCCCCCAATGTTCTTCTAGGTCATTTGTAAATAGGAATCTGTCCAACTTAGAGCAAATTGGATTGGTTTGGAGATTGGACCAAGTATAGCACCTCTATGACAGTGGAATTTCTTTTAATTCAAAGGCCTCTATGAATTGGTTAAACCTCCTCATACTTGTGGTGCTCCTCTGCCTAGAACTATTTGTTTCTACCAGGAATCTTATTACATTAAAGTCACCTCCTAGGCACCATGAACCTTCCCACAAACCCCTTATGTCTGCCAACTCCTCCCATAATAATCTTCTTCCTCTGTAGTCATTTGGCCCGTACACATTGGTTAATACCTATTCAAAACCATCTTCCACTTGCCTAAATTTCAATGAGACTGTGAATTGTCCTACCAATTCCTCTAGAAATTCCACTACCTCATTTTTCCACAAAGTCACCACCCCCCTGCTGATCCCCAAGATGGTAGGACCGCCCAACTAATCCCCCTACTCCTCCACACACTCCTTGCCCATTTGGTATCAAATTCTGCTCTTTTCATTTCCTGTAATAGTACCACATCGGGGTCCATTTTCTGGATGACTCCTTTTATTACTGCTCTTTTCCTTGCACTACCCTGTCCTTTAACATTCCAACTTATAATTTTCATTACTCTTTTTATGTCCATCCCTCGCTCCTTTTCCCTCACCTACTTCCTCCCCTCCTAGCCCCTCTAGTTCTAATGCCTTTGTCACTTGCCCCTTCCTTCACCTTGCTTTCAACCTCACTCATTCTCCTCCTCTCGGCCTTGACTTCTTCTCTCCTTTTCTCCAGGAATGCTTTATTTGGGTCCTTCAGTTTACACCCCAGTTTCTGTACAAATAATGCCATAGAATCCTCACTTGCCAACTCTTTTTTCTCTGATTCTTTCATTTTATCTCCCTGGCCTGTGTCCCCATCTGTGCCTTCTTCCTCCTTGTTGTACCCTAACCTAGTCTCAGTATCCCTTCCTTTCAACCATTCATTCTCCTCCCCCTCAGGTAACATATTATCACTGTCTCCTAAGGACCTGAGGCTACTGTTTACTTCCTTCTCTCTTTCCACCTCCTTCTCTAACTCCTCTCTACCTCTACAACTAATACTTGCCCCCCCCCCCCTTCTCCTACACAGACTGCAGCCTCTGAAATGGGAACGGGATCTGGCACACAGGACACAGAGCAACCATTAGTACCAATAACTGAAAAGACACTGTTACCTTGGTTTAGCTGGAGCAGACTGGAGGCACTGGAGTTAGAAGCTATTGGATCTTGGAAGGTGTGGTTGTTGGAAAGCTCCTTGGTTCGGATCTGTGGAGTGAACCTTCCTGTCTCTTTCGTTTTACAGTGATCCCTCTCTACACCCAGTTGTTCGTCCCTCCTTGCTATGTTCCTGCTTTGCTTCAGAAGAGACATGGATAGTTCCTTACCAAACTCTCGTCCATTGTCAAGCTTTGGTTCAAGAACTTCTAAGTCCAGATCGTCATTGCCTTCCCCACCCTTGTTCTCCTGGTGTATAAGCCGATCCAGTCTATATCCTTCCCCTATGTCTTCTGAAAACAATGTACTAAGTTGTAGGGTTGCAGCCAAGTCCGCCTCTGAAAGTTGGTGTACCTCCGTACTGCCTATGTTGGACTGGTCATCCGAGTCCTCTTCCAAATCTGGGTCTTCCAGTTGGTAGTTGACCCAGCCCTCATCAACCCCTTCCTTTTCCGTGCCACCCTCTCTTACATATATGGGATTCGGTCGGTCTTTCATTGAGCTGCTTCCTTTTGAATGCTCAGACACCGATCTAGGGACCCTTGCAGAGGTTTCGTTTTCCGCCAAGCCAGAATAGGGTCTCCTGCGCAGGTCTTCTTCGAGAAGGAAGAAAATACTCTTTTTTTGTCTAAGTAGAAGATCAAGACTGCAATCAGCCTTGAACCCTAATAGATTTTAGGTTAAGAAAAGTAGAAGAAAAGTGAGAGGAAGGAGAAAAGAGAGAAGAGGAACAGGAGAACACAAAGGTTTGAAAGAAGGGACAGATTCTAACACA